GAAATTCATCACAAGAACAGAATATTAAAAACTGTCAGAGAAAACAAACAGATCACCTATAAAGGAAAACCCATCAAAATCATGACAGACTTCTCAACACAAATTATCAAATCAAGAAGGTTTGGAGCAAAAATAACCTGAAAGAAAATAACCTCCAATCCAGTTTGATGTACCCTCAAAAACTGTCTCTCAAAATTAATGTAGAAACAAGATGCTTCCATGACAAACAGGAACTGGTGGAGTTCATGACCACCAAACCCACCCTACAAAAAATACTGAAAGACATTCTAGAGAGAGAACAACAGTGGCAGAAAGGCCACAATGAACAGGGCAGACAGTGGAATGAAGGAGAAAAGTAGACAACCAACAGCAGAAAAATACTATAGCACAAATGAGGCAGAGAAGACTGGCTATAATCTCTAACACAGATGGCCCTGATACCCTAACAAAAAGAAACACAGAGTAATCAGGAGATAGGGTCCATTGAGATGCTCTGAATAGGAAATATAATCTTCCTGAAAGAGGGTTAATGAACCAAAAGTGAAACATGAGAAAACAATGCTCTGTGTGACAGGGAACCAAAGAGAAATAGGGACGGCTCATCCAACAGGTGCAGATAGGCTGGAAAGTCATGACAGTGTTGTGCAGTAGAGAACTACTCAGCTAAAAGGAAGGAAAACCTTAAGGCTTTAGTAGGTAAAGGAATACAGCTCAAGATCAAGCTCAGGGGTAAAATGGTTCAGAACCACTTAGACAGATAGCGGGTTGCCCCCCAATCTAAAAATTAAAAGAGTTAGTGGGACCCAAAATGTACAAAGCACCCTGAGAAAGAGAAACGGGGGGAATTGTTTTAAAGAGAAAGTCAGAGGAAGACATTGTTAATAGTGTATCAGGATTTAAAAGCCACCATTAGTCTTATCGGTCTGTTTAGTTTGATTTTATTCTGTTCTAGTCTACTTGTACTAGATTTGAGGTCACAGACAGCTATCCCCAAAATAGCAGGATATACTTCGGTAACTATCCTTAATTCTCTATTAACTTAACCTGAAGCCCTGTATTACTTACACTGTCTTACTATGACTGATCTTATTTGAATCTGGTTTGTTAGACTGCTGTTTTGTCTTGACTGACTTTATTCGAAATTGGAATGCGTGATAGGATCAAGGCTAAGAGCAGAAGCAGCTACTCTGAAGATAACAAGGTGCAATACGATACCCACTCCGATTTGATTAACTGCTTTTGAAGTCCCATAATGTCTCCAATGTTTTGTTTTTATTAATATTGCTATGTAGTGCTATGTTCAGTTATACTGTGCCTGATGATATAGACAATTCTATTGAAAATAACAAGAGACATCATAGTAACTACTGTAGATCACCAAGTATTGTGATTTTATGTCTTTTTTGTTTCATGTTTTTCTAGGAATTTGTTTTGTTGTCTTGTTTTGATTTGTTTTTCCCTCTAATACCGAAAGGATAGGTATACATGTAGAGATTCACACATGTGTAGAACTTTTTAACAGTTTAAAAGAATAGATTATATAATGTATGATGTAATGAGCAGATACTCTGAAGAAAAAGACACTAAGATACCCAGTGCTAATTCTGTAGCATCATGATATGAAATCTAGCAATACTATTATTCTCTGTCCAAAGTGATATTGGTCTGTTTTCTTCTGTTTAATTTCAACATACGTAAAGAGATGGACAGCTATTTTGAAGAAAATGAGAGCCATTGTTGACTCCCCTATTTTCTGGTCTTGAAGACCTGAAATGCCTTTATCATAATGTTCTGATCAGTTTAGTACTATTTTGTTTGGTATGAAGTCACTGTGTGTGAAGATGTGGACAACTATTTGGAAGAAAACAAGAAACAATACGATAGACAGTGAAGATCTCCGGTGGTCTTGCTTTGAAATCTGTGTTTCTTAAATTGTTTTCTTATGATCTGTTTTGTTATGTTTAATTTTACCCTCTTTAAAATAAAGATAAAAAAAATAAAAATAAGCTAAATAAAACTCTGATGAAAAAACATTAGCAGCAGCTATTAGGCAAGAAAAATAAAAGGGTTATGCATAAAAAAGAAAAAAAGCAAATTTTCATTATTTGCAGAAGACATGATCTTTACATAGAGTCTAAAAATTCCATTAAAAGGCTTTAGAATTTCAAACTCGATAACATAGCAGGATACAATATCAACACACAAAAATCAACAGTATTCTTGTACACACGGAAAAAATACTGTTCACAATACCACCATGAAAAAGTGAATACTTAGGAATTAAACTAAAAAGGTGAAAGACCTCTACAATGAAAAGAACAGTGCTTTGAAAAAGGACATCAAATTGAATGTCAGAAAATGAAAAGATATTTCCTGTTCTTGGATATGCAGAACAAATGTACTCAAAATGGCCATACTTCTAAAATTCGTATACACATTTAATGTCATCCAATCCATATACCAACTGCATTCTTCACAGAATTTGATAAAACAGTCCTAAAATTCATAGGGAATCAGAAAAGCCCATGAATAGCAAAAGTGATTCTAGATAACAAGAGTAAAGCAAGAGGTATCACAGTGCCGTACTGTTGAGTTATATCACAAAGCTGTAGTGAAAAAGTACTGAGAATTAGCAAATCATATCAAGTTAAAAATCTACACAACAAAAGAAACCACCAGGAGAGTGAAAAGATAGTTTACGAAATGGGGGAAAAACTATGCCAACTATTCCTCCAACAGAAGACTAATATGTAAAATATATAAAGAACTCAGAAAAATTAGACCTCCCTCCCAAATGAAAGATCTAATCAAGAAATGGGCAAGTGAAATGAATGGACACTTCATGGAAATACAAATGGCCAGTAAATACATGAGGAAATGGTCAATCACCAGTTACTAGAGAAATGCAACTTAAAACAGCACACACAGTCTGTCTTGCCTCACAAAGGATGACCATCTTAAAGAAATCAAATAATAAGAAATGCTGGCAAGGTTGTGGAGAAAAAGGAACCCTTCTACAATGTTAAGCAGCATCACCGAATGGTTCTGTGACAGGACAACTTGTGTTTTTATGTGCTAGGCAGGAGATTACTATGGCTATATGCTAATTGAGGTTTGAAATTTGCACTTTGGGTAGAGCAGGATAAATATCAGGTTCCTACATAGTTGTTTAAAAGAAGTTGGACTGTTCATTGGTCAGGAAAGATGTTTCATTTAAGTCCAGTTCAGGATCTGTTAAAGTAAATTCTTAGTCATTTGCAGTTTCATAATTTACTTTTGTATTTCTTTAGGTAAATATACTGCAGATAGGAAGATCTTACCTAGGTTCTTTACAGTTGTGTCAACTCTGGAATTGTAGTACTGAAATGTATTTTCCAATTTTGAGTTATTTCTGCCTACTGAGAATAGAATCAAATGGGGATGTGATAAGAGCCCATCTGAGGTAGGGCCCCCCTCCAAGCCACTGCATTTAGTTAATATGCTATATAACTACTTACAGTTTTCAAAATCTGTGAGTTATTTGACTGCAAAGCCATAGTATCTGTCTTGTGAATTCATATTTGGGTTTTTTTTAAGCCTGACTTTCTGATCCAATAAAATAGTTTCAAAATAGTTATCTTATAAACATAAAAATATATAGTTATATCCAGACAGAAGCACTTTGGTGTTAGCAAATATAATATTTTAGAACTTAAACAAATAACACTGAGGGTACTAGTTGGTATTTACATCTTATAAATGTTTGGAGGAAATATTTTATTTTGGACTATTATCAATTAGATACTTTTTAAAGTTCCTGTTGAGTTTTCTATATTTATTAGGGCCTACACCACCCTGGCATGCGGTGAGTTTCAAATATGTATTAAATTATGTTGTAAATGTTTTAAACTCTCATTTTTAAATTTTTTATTAGTCATGTTTCCAGTACATAATGATTACATTTATCATGGGGAGTTGGAACATGTACACAATACATCTTAATTCTTCTTTTACTTTCCATTTCCTTTCCCTCCCCCCTTCCCCTCCTGCCCTGCTACTCTGCTACTCGCCCTCCATCTCCTACTCTCACATCAATTTAAAAAAGATTTTCCTACTTCCTATTTATCTATCTTCTTTTTTGCACTATATACACATATATATAGATATATACATATATCTTTTAGTTTCTCATGTAAGAGATAATACTTTTTTATAAATCATATCAGATGCTTTGGAAGTATTTTAACCTTTTTATTTTTAAATGAAACACCAAACTGGAGTTCTAAGATCAATGAAAGCAGTTGTTTTTTTAGTAAATAGTTATACCTTAGAAAAGGCAATAAGCAAAGAGCAAAAGATGAAAAAGTAAAACCAAATTAACCTTTGCTTGCTTACAGATATTTCAATTGATAACACTGGGCTTCCTTTCCAAGGAAGACTTTACTTTTATGGGGATTTAACCTAAAACTAGTTTATTATGTTGCTATCTAAGCATGTTTTCACTTTTGTTCAGATGTTATATAAAAGCTATTTTCTTAAGATTCTGTTGTAGTTAGGGATTGTGAAGAAAACAGAATCAGGACAGAATTGGTAATATTATTTATGCTAGCTATCCAGAGTTTATGCAAGAAAGTGCAGGAAATCTATCCACAACACTAAAGACATAGAATATTCAGCCAAGAGCCTGAACCCCACAGCAATGTCCTACCTGAGTCCAAATGAAGACCCAGAGCTCATGACACTGCCTCCCACAAGTCCAATGGAGGTCTAGAACCCACAAGAAGGACTCACACCAGTCTGTTTTATGGATCCATGCTGGGAAGGCCCAAAGGTCAGTGGTGGAAGCTAGAAAGTCTACACCAGCAGGGTGAAGGAGCTGTGCTGGTAGGTTGAGGGTTCTACACTGGAGCTGAGAACAGTGCTCAAAACAAAGACCAGGGCTGCCCTGAACAGCACTCAGCTATCCTCAGTGACACGGAGGCCCCAAGCTCCTCTGACGATAAGAAGAGTTGAGTACCTACGAGGAAACCAGTGACGAGTTCATCCTGGAGATTAAGCAGCACACGTCTTCCCTTCCAGAGCCAGGAAGCAATGCTTTATGTAAGGACTAGAGCTTCTCTAGGAGAACCAGCAGCTCAAAGAGCACCATGTAGGAGAATCCGCAGTGCCTCAACGCCTCCTTTCTCCTTCTCCACATCTCTATTTATGCTGTCAACTTTCCTCAGGTGGAGCCTCTATGCTCAGCATCATGGTGATCTAATTCAGCTGGTGTTAAGTTGACCATCAGTTTTTAATCCATAACAGGTTCCATCCTGGTTTTCTTTTCTTCCTCATCTAGCCCCTCTCTCCTCAATCTGGTAAAATATAGCTAAGCTGCACAGCTGAGTTCTAATTGTTCTGCTCTTAGGCTCTGTGATCCTGGATAAATCAGTAAACCTCAGTTCTTTCATCTGTTCAGTGGGCATACTAGTTCATGCCCTGTAGTAGTTGAGTGAGCTTAGGTACAGTCAGTTCTTGTTACTTGCAGTAGCTATAGTGTATAAATTTCTGGAACACACTCAATTAGTATATTTAGTAAATACTGGAACATTGTTCCAAGGAGATTGGATTAGTTGCTTTTTGGTTGCTGGGACAAAATACCTGACATACACAAGTTAAAGAAGGAAAGGCTTACTTTGGCTCACAGTTTCATTGTCAGCTGGTTGCAGTGCAGAAACATGGCAGGAGGACATGGCAGAGGAAAGCTGCTCGCTTCATGACAACCAGGAAATAGGGAAAGAGCCGGAAGAAGGCACCAAGGACCAGATACAGTCTCTAAAGTGACACCACCACAAGCTACCCAGACGTGTCCCGAAGTGTGCTTTACTTACTCCCTAGGTGTCTCTTAGGCCAATTAAGTTGACAGTCAAAATTAGCCATCACAAGTCCATCTTTGGTCAGTTTCATACCCATACACATCTTATTAAACTAAGTAATCTCTAAGTGGAGATAATGAAGAAGACAGAGGTCCACCAAACATTATATACTATCCAACACACAACTGAAGATTCACTGATTCTTTCCCCAAAGTCTCAGTGGCCCCACAATTGCTCAAAAGTTCAAGTCCAAAGTTTCCTCTGAAACTAAAGGTAAATACTTAGCTGTCAACCCTCTAAAATTCGCAAAGCAAGTTACGTGCTCCCAAGATAAAGTGGTGCAGGGTAAAAATGCTCACTCCAAAAGGGAGGAACATAGGAATAGAAAGGATTAGGACCAAAGGAAGCCCAAAATCCTACTGAACTAACTTTCGTTCTGTAGCTCCATGTTGGGCACCCAGGGCACATGGGGGCAAGGTGTGAGCTCCGTAGGGCTGTGCTGCCTCTCTGGCTTTGCTGGCGGATCCCATACCATCTCTGCTTGCTGCCTGCACCTTTGTTCATAGTCGATCCATGTTCCTGGTGTCTCTGACTTCCTGGGGTCTCTACTGTAGCTTTGACCTCACTCAAAACTTTGCTCATCACCCTTTCAGGAGCTGCTGATAGGGACTCTAACTCTGTCACACATTGCCTTGCCTCCCAGGCTTCCTTGCAATCTCAGTGGAAGCCTCTCTGGTGCTGTAACCTAGCTATTCTGTTTACTAGCATCATATGAATGATAACCAGGATGTGCTGCCACCTTGAGCAACAATCAAGCCCCTTTGGGCCACACCACGTGGACTTTGAGTGCCACACAGTAGAGCACAGTGAAAGGAATCCCAAGAAACCAATTCCTTAGGCCATACTTTTTGCACAAGGAACACAAGATTGTCTTCTCAAATGAAAGTTTTACACTTTTGTACCCTTGAGCCTGCAATGGATGGAGTCTTGGTGATTTCTGGGATGCCTTTCTTCTTGGCCCAGTGAAAGTGAATTGCTTCTTTTTAATGATGCTAATGTTTTCAGCAGCCTCAACTTCTTTGGACCAATTTGATGTGTGCCTCTTTTCTTCCCAAACTACAGGTTCTTCAGATCTCTCTGCTCTGCCTTTTGTTCCCATTTCTCACTGTAAATCTAGCTAAACAGCAGTCAGCAGTACTCATGCCATAGTCTGAATGCAGTGCTGCTTAGAATTCCACTACCACATTAACTAGTCCATCATCTTTTTTTAGGTTTTAGTTTTTATCAGTACATGTTTGTAGTACACAATGAATACATCCCTTGTGGGGAGTTGGTACATGTACACAATACATCTTATTCTATTCCTTTCTCCTTCCTCTCTTTCCTCCTAATCAAGAGTTTCCATAATTCTTATTGTTTGTCTTGTATGTTGCTCTTTATTTATATTTTGAGTTTCTCATATAAGAGAAATCGTGCAATATTTAAACTTGTGTTTCTGATTTATTTAACATAACATCATAAGTCTCAAGTAATCCATTTTCCTACAGATTACTCACCTTTATTTTTCTTTATGGAAGAGTAGTGCTCCATTGTGTGTAAATAGCATGTTTTATTTATCCATGTATCTGTTGATGGAATTAGTCCATTATCTTTAAATGTAGCCTCACACAAAGTCTCAGGACATGGGCAAAATACAAACGTATTCTTTGATAGAATGTAACAAATCATTTTTAGTTCCATTCCCAATAGAGTTCCGATTCTCATCGGAAACTTCATAAGCCCAGACTTTACTGTACACATTCTTTTAAGACTTCTCTAGCCTAATCTGTAAACCTTTCCAAATTCCTCCCACAAATTAGTTTCAGTATTTCTAAATCACATGGTCAAGTATACTCCTGGCACCAGCCCCACTCTTGGTACCAAGTTTCTATATTAGTCAGTTTTTCTTTATTGGGACAAAATGTCTGATACGTACAACATGATGAGAAAGAAGATTTGCCTTAGTTCACAGTTTCAGAGATTTCAGTCTGTAATCAGCTGGCCCCAAGGCAGAAATACCTTGGCAGATGACATGGTGAAAGAAGGATGCCTACCTTATGGCAGCCAGGAAGCAGAGAGATAGGGAGGAAGGAGCCAAGGACCAGATACAGTCCTCAAGACCACACCCCTCAGACTCAAGTAGACACTCATAAGTGTGCTTTACTAATCTAGGTAGCTCTCAATCCAGCCTAATTGACAATCAACATTTAGCCATCACACAGATATACAAGGTTAGACTCTTTCTTAGTTACTTTTCTCATTGCTGAAACAAAAGACCTGATAGCCAAAGTTAAAGGAAGAAGGTTTATTTCGGCTCATGGTTTGTAGTGATTCATAATCAGCAGGCTGCAAGGCAGGGTCCCATGACAGAGGGGTGTCACTCAAGAGGCAATAGCACACCAAAAGCAAGCAGAAAACTGTAGCAGCCGCCCTCTTTCAGTCCTTTTGCATTCTGTCCAGTTTGAAAGCCTATTTACTGATTGATGCTACCAACACCTGGGGTGGGGCACCCTTAATCCCAGTGTCATATTCATAATCCTAGCATCACACATCCTAGATTCAGCCCTCTCTGAAAAGCCCCACCTGTGACCACATGAGGCTTCTGGGGAACATCTGGTTACAAGCCGTAACGGGCTCCAACAGGCCTCAGGTCACAACATCTTTGGCAACAGGTAATACATAATCTTGTTTCATGCATCATTTCTGCTTAAAGACACATTATTGGTTGTATATTGCAGATTCATTAATATGGAAATCACATAACACAACTTGTACCTGAGCAAAAGTCATCTCACTGGGGCTGGGGATTTAGCTCAGCAGCATAAGTGCCTGCCTTGCAAGCAGGCAATCGTGAGTTCGATCCCCGGTACCGATAAAAAGGAAAAAGACAAAAAAAAAAAAAAGTCATCTCACATACATATTTTTTCAGTGCAGCGTGTCATAGACATCTTGTGCTTAGGAACAACAGGTAACACTTCACCATTTTTTTGAAGGCCATTCTAAGTGGTAAAATCACCAAGAGAAAGCCCAAAAATTTATAAAATATAGCACTAAGTAGACCATCAAAGGAGTCTCTTATTTACAGTGTGAGAGTTAAAATAAGCAAGAAACCGGAGTACCTCCTGGTCACCTGGAAATGGTACATGTCAGGTGGCTTAGATTTGTCTCTGCTCTGTACTGTCCATAAGTGACCATGGCAAATAAATTTTAGCAATAGCCAGATTTGCAAATAGAACATATTTGAATTTTAAAATCCAAGTTATATGAGTTTACATACACCCTTTTTAAAACACAAAACTCTCAAGATGATTTGCAGAATAAAATTCTTTTGGGCAACATTAACTCAGATACAATCAATGTTTTTTGAGCATTAGTCATTATTATAAATTTCAAATTAACAAAATAGTAAATGTGTTACTGAAAATGAGCACAACTTCTTGGCTTAGTACAAGCTACAAAGAAAACTATTATTGTTAAGTTGATCAGCTCCTCAGCCTTCACATGTAATGTACGGTAGCAAGGAAAAGCACTGTAATTTGATGCTTTGCTTTTAATGGTTAGCATTGCTTTGTGACCTTATTACTGAGGGAAAAAATTGTTCATTACATATTACCAAAATATTATGTTTCCAAATATGTGAAATTCATATGGAAACATTTTGATCTTAACAAGTAGTATAACTGCTGTTCTTGGACTTTTGGTACCATTTCATGCTGCAGAACAAGTACAAATTGACATTTTCAAGATGGTTTTGGTTAACTCCTTAATGTTGGAAATTGGAACTTTCCGATGTAATAACTTCTGCAAAATACCACGGTGTGTTATTAGTACTGTATGCTGCTGACAGAAGAATAAATGAAAAACACACATATCTGCAGCCATATCCTTGTAGAACAGAATAGAAACTAAAGCTTATCAAGTAGACTGTTCTTAGAAGTTATTTTATTTTGGAGTAAAGTATTAGAGTTTAAAATATTCTTATTAGTAAATTCAGATTGAGAGTAATTTTTTGTGTGAAATGACTATGTTTCCACTAATACTTAAAAAGTGACTGGCAATCTAACAGTTTACAGGGGTTTGTGCCAGCGTCAGTGCAACTATTTGGCACATAATTTCTCAGAAATTCGAATTACCCATGTAAATATATTTCATAGCATTACATTTCACTTTGTCAGAACCCCTGCTGCCTTTATATCATTAACATAAATGCAGGTGCAAATAGCATTTATGTACTGTGATAGAAAGCAGTTGGAAGCATTTCA